AGAGCTCCAACTACAACAGGGATTGTTGATGTTCCCATATGCCACATTTTCGAGTTTCTATTTCAAGGTCCTTGTACTTTGACAACTTTTTGAATATCTTCAAAGATACATTGCAGTCAGCAGGGACTGCCATGTCAATAAGGAGGCACCGTTTTTGTTTGTGGTCTTTAATAACAATATCTGGCCGGTTGGCCTTGATTCTTCTGTCAGTGTGTATTGTGTAATCCCATAGAATTGTAACAGGTCCTATCTCCGTAACCGGGTCTGGGTGGTGTTCATACCAGTTTCTTTCAGTTTCCTTCCCGTAGAAGTTGCAGATTTAGATTATTATTATTATTATTATTATTATTATTATTGCCGGTTACTCACTTCCGAGCATATCCGTTTGTTAGGGCAGCTAGCCAATCCTTATTGCAGACGCCAGCTCAGGCACATTTGTGTTTATTCAATACCCACATAGACCACCTGTAATTATAATGGATTATGCTCAGCGGACATTAGTTACTGTTTCTGGAAGGGAGCGCTTAATCAGGCGTGATCAACAGTCTGAACATGGCTAGCAAGCTCAAAACTTCAGTCACGATGACTTGTGGCTTCGTGCTAGCACACCCAATGATGACTTCCAAACAGTCTCGTCTACCGAATTGTGTCAACCCGCGGTGTATGGTTTTCAGGTAATTTTAAACGATGCCGCACACCGGGATCGCCTCCCTAAAAAAATAATATCGAGAAGTCACCAACAAATGACAAATCGAACATGTTGAGATTTGAACCCGGGTCTCAGGGTCGAAAAGCGAATGTTCTAGCCACTCGGTCAAGTGTCCTACATGCATATATACATTTTGGGCACTTTGACGTTGTGTAATTGTTAGCAAACTTGTCTCACAAGATCAATTACAAGTGAATAGTGATTTCAGTACTCACTTGGCGCTCCATACTTTCGACCTTGTGCCACATTTAAACTACACTTAGTAAATAGCTACATAATAATGGCTGGCCACTCATATCCAACGCTGATCTTCTACTAGGGCGGCTTGCAAATCCATGTTGCAGACGTCTGCTCAGGCACATTTATGTTTATTCAACGCCTCCAGAGCTCATCTGTGTTTTATACTGCAACTATGCTGAGCAGACTTAGCGTGATCAACCACCAATTATGCTCAAACCCTTGGTCACGATAACTTGTGACTTCGTGCTAGGAGAACCATTGAAGCCTCCCATGGATACATATATATATACATACATATGTATCGACAGGCGAAAACGCTAGATATAATAAGGGAAGACCTAAAAAAATTGTTTGCAAAATAAAACTTTCAACAAAAAGATTTAACAAAATATAAAGACATGGAAATAGAAATTACATGAATATTTCATTTAAACACAGACACAAGTCCATCAACGAGGAGGCACGGTAGAATAATGAATAAAGGATTGAGAAATCGGAGAACCGAGTTCGAATTCCAGTCGAATCCATTACTATTCACTTTAGTGCTAATACTCTTGGGAAAGGTATGAATCCTCTTCTACTCCCCCCAGCTATGGGTAAATAGCAGGACAGAATGGTTTCTATAGTCTTGGGTGGCAACTGGTCTAGGAGAAGACAACTATGAATTCAAAACCTGATCATCTAGGTTGGGGGTTTTGCACTGACTTGTTACAGAAACCGCAACGATATCTTGCGGTCCTATGTTCCTCGAGGAATTTAAAAATGGATAATAAAATTATTTAGTGGAGTATTTGAGGGTCTGCATTTATTCGTCAGTGTTCAATGCAAAGAATGGATAGCGTCTCGAATTGTGGAATCGGAGAGCCGAAGCTGAATTCCAGTCGAATCCATTATGTGCTAATACCCTTGGTATGAATCCTCTTCTTCCTCCCCCACCTCAGCTATGGGTAAATAGCAGGACAGACCGGGTTCTATAGCCTTGGGCGGCAACTGGTCAAGGAGAAGGACAACTATAAATTGAAAGCCTGATCATCTAGGTTGGGAGCTGACTAACAACCCACTCTGGTTTGTTACAGAAACCGCAACGATATCTTTTAGCCCTATGTTCCTAAGGTATTTAAAGGCATAATATATATATATATATATATATATATATATATATATATATATATATATATATACAATTCTATCAGCAATATGAGCACGAGGAAGGATTGAAAAATAATTCTGATACGCACTTTAAGATAATCTCAGGAAAGCCCTGAAAATGTTTCTTTATGTGCAATGTCCCTTCAGGACGTAAGCGGTCATGGCTCTCCACAATTTCCTATCACTTTTAGCTCTTAATAAATGTATTAAGCCCTGTTCCGCCATCATTTAATCAAAGTCATTAAGTATGTTGTCTTCCTCTGTCCCTCTTGACCTCTGTGGGTATCAAATTTTCATCCTTCCTCTTTATATTCCTCAGAATCTATCAACTGTCTCGTGATAATATGAAACACAATAGTTAGTGTTTCTGATCACAGTTCACGAAGTCAGAAAAAAACTCTTTCAATCTAACAATAACTTCCTAAAAAGTAACTTCTCAATAACTTTCCACGAAAAAAAAACTTCGTTTCCCTCAGGCCTCAGCTAAAACGTATGTTGAAGGAGCGTATGAAACCGAATAATAATAATAATAATAATAATAATAATAATAATAATAATAATAATAAGAGAGCAAAGACAAATTCAACCGACCAGATACAGAAACAATGGCAAAATAAACCGCTTCATGGCCAATAATCTGCCCGTACCAAACAAGCTGACGTAGACAAAACCCGTACCCATCAGTGGCTATGTAGTGAAGGGTTGAAAGCTAAAACTGAAGGTTTTATGCATGCAGCACAGGACCAATGCTTGCTAACTAGGAATTATCAAGCACATATACTAAAATATTGTGTTAGCCCAAAATGCAGATTCTGTGATAAATATCCAGAAACATTTAATCATCTTATATCAGGTTGCACGATATTGGCACCCACTGAGTATAAAACCTGGCATGGCAGAATGGGCCAATATCTGCACTGGAAAATATGTAACTTCTACGGGAAGGAAACTGAAAGAAAATGGTATGAACACCATCCAGACCCGGTTACGGAGATAGGACCTGTCACAATTCTATGGGACTACACAATACACACTGACAGAACAATCAAAGCTTACCACCCAGACATTGTTATTAGAGACCACAAACAAAAAAGTGTCTCCTTATTGATGTGGCAGTCCCTGGAGACTGCAATGTATCTTTGAAGATCTTCAAAAAGCTGTCAAAATACAAGGACCTTGAAATCGAAATCTCAAAAATATGGCACATGGGAACATCAACAATCCCTGTTGTAGTTGGAGCCCTCGGATTGGTTGGAAAAGATTCAAGTAGATTAATTGAAGGGATTCCTAGAAGTTCATGCCTCAAAGAAATACAAAAAAATGTTCTCACAATTACAGCCCACACTTTACGAAGGGCTTTATTTATGTAATTTTTGTTTTTGTTTTGTCAGTGGAAGGTGTCATGATGCCCTTTCTAACCTTAGGTCCCTGGGCGGGACCCGGAAAGAAATGAGTAAACGCCAGAAATCAAAGGAAATAATAATAATAATAATAATAATAATAATAATAATAATAATAATGTTTGATAATTAAAAACGTTTAAAACAAATATTTTATTTTAATAGTGGGGGATAACTATTGTTGGTAACCTATGAATTAAGGAAGACCACGTCTTTGAAAAATAGTTGGTGGTGGGGCGAAGCAAAATGAATACCATACACTATTACTTTCCCCCGAAAAGTCTAAAACAATATTAAATAACGAATTGCTCATGTTCCATAAAAAATCGAATGAATTGAACTCATATTGATTGAATTTTTATCAGTTCTGCAGATCCACTCATCAAAAACTGATTGACTTCTTTGTTTCATTGTTCGACTGCGGGGAACAAATCGATATGTATCACACGATAAGATAATCAATCAGTATTCTATTTTAATAGTTCAAATAAAATGTCCTCTTTTGACAGACATACCAATCAAGTACCACCCTGTGTTTGATTCGAATCGTCTTCTCGAAGTAACTTGCATGCAATTCTACAAGCTTTTTTTATCAAGACAAAGAACATTAAAGACGGCAATTCCAGAAAGAATAAAGAGATCTGGTATTGGCGTTACAGTTGTTGCGGTTATATAAAAAGTATCAATAGAAATAGGTGGAAGTAGAAAAAAATAGGGCGTCTCCAGGCCAGTCGTCGTCTTCTTCTGCTTCTTCTTCGCCTATTCCTCTTCATCCGTCTTCTTCCTTATCTTCATCCCCACTCTTCCTACTACTACTAGTTCTCCTCCTCAACCTGCTTCTATTCCTCCTGTCCCTCTGTCTTATTATTATTATTATTATTATTATCCCTCATCCCTTCTTTCCTTTCTTCTTCTTTTTCTTCTCCGCCTCTTCCTCTTCCTCCGTCTTCTTCCTTATATTCATCCCCACTCTTCCCACTACTACTAGTTCTCCTCCTCAACCTGCTTCTATTCCTCCTGTCCCTCTGTCTTATTATTATTATTATCCCCCATCCTTTCTTTCCTTTCTTCTTCGCCTGTTCCTCTTCCTCCGTCTTCCTTATCTTCATCCCCACTCTTCCTACTACTACCTCTCCTCTTCAACCTGCTCTATTCGCCTGTTCCTCTTCCTCTGTCCTCTTCCTTATCCTCTCCCACTTCAACTTCTTCTTCTTCTGATCAGCCTCCTCTTATTCTTTCTTCTTCTTGTTGTTGATATTTTTGCGTAAGTGAATATAAAGAAGCCAACAGGAATTGTAACTCGACTCTCAGATCATCAATTCCGAGTCATTATCCATTACACTACTTGCATATCAAAGCTTACACACCTGGTATTCTCAATCGGTCACTCATCTAGGTACTGACCAGGCTCGACGTTGCTTAACTTCGGTAATCATACGGGAACTCTGCTCTCCGATTAACAATTCCGAGCTATTATCCATTACAGCAATCGCACATCCAAGCTTACAGCACCTGGTATTCCCAAGCGGTCACCCATCTAATTACTGACCAGACTCGACATTGCTTAACCTCAGTGATCGTACAAGAAGTCGGATCTCCGATTAAGAATTCCAAATCATTATCCATTACACCACTCGCACTTTTTTTTAAAAATTAGTATCACCCTCATGTAAGGCAATAAAGCCACTATGATACAAGGGGTTACGGGGTGTGGAGGAATTAGGAACAGAAACATCAATAATGAGAGGAAATAGAAAAGAGCAATCAGAATGATACTAGATAGCGATTGACATTGCATCTAAATTTTTGCAGATTAAAGTTGGCTGGAAAGCATGAAGCTGGGAGGGATTTGCACACGTGAGAAGTGCGGGAAAAGAAACTGTTAGCATAGAATTTAGTTATATCTAGCCAGCTCAACTGTAACCTGATGAGATCTCGACGCCAGTCTAGTACTGCGCTTAAATTTAAAAAATCTAGGTACCATAGCGAAGAGTTCATCCGAACAATTACCATGAAAGTATTTATAGAAAAAGTACAGACAGGAGCTGGGAAAATAACTGAAGCGGAACTGCCAGATCAAGATCGATAATATTGCTGATTCTTCTTTGGATTTTATTACCGATACTCAATGTGAATAGCAGAAGCTCCGGACCATATATGGCAGCAATATTCTAAGCGTGAACAAATGGGAGACTTGCAGATATGCAAGATAGATTCCAGAGAGAAAAAGTGTCGTGCTCGACGCAGTTAACCGACCATCCTAGCAGCTGATCTGGCGATGGATTCAATTGTAGTCTTTTCACCTCATGTCAGATGAGAACGTTAGCCCGAGAAGGCATAATGAGTCACTTTCCTGGAGGATAGCATCAACCATACTGATGGAAGATAGAGAGATTTCTCATATGACTAATGGAGAGCAGTTTATTTTTGGAGACGTTAAAACTGACAAGCCATCTTTTGTCCCAGTTAACGACGATCTTGAGATCGTTTTGTCCATTGGCTGCCATTCTGACCTTGTCTGATTAACCAGTTTCACTATCGAGGCAGGAGTAAATGCCGTCAGATACCGTAGCTTTTTAGCTTGTAGAGAAGACCTGAATGCCAGACACTGCAAAGGCTTTGGAGATGTCCAATGCTACACTCCTGGCTTCACCGTTTTTATTTAAAGCACTCAATTATTGTTAATACATCAGCAGTTGATCTGGAGAAAAGAAAGCCGTATTGCTTGTCTGAGAAAAGTCCCTGTGATGAGAGATGACAAACAAAATCAGCTTTGATTAGGTTCTCTAGGAGTTTCCTAAACAGAAGCAGAAAGCTAATAGGCCGATAGCTGGATGAGTCAGACGGTTCCCCAGAGATTTTTAAAACTGAGAATGAACTTTTGTTTACAATTTGTCAAAAATGGCCGATTTCATCGATTTTACTAAAAAACAATCGATTCCGATCAATATAATTTCTGTTTGGAATACATCACAAAGTATGTTGCTTGAGGGAAATAGTAAATTTAAAATTCTTTAGCTTTCAATTGAAGTAAAAATGAAAGCTTCAAGAAAACCTTTTCATTTTTTTTTTTAAATTCATTTTAAACCTGGCGTATATCAAATTAATGGAGGTACTTATAATTAGTAGTACCTAGAATCTGAGAGCATAATTTTGGCCACAAAGTAAACGTCTAGTTTATTACTTATCAGGATAAAGTGAATTTTCCTGCTTGCTAGAGGTCATCGTCTGTTTTGCTAGTTTTTAAGAACACTTCTCTTTGGATCCATTCTGCATTGGGGTTATATTCCTTTGGAATGCTTCAAATATTCTCCCAAATTTTCTGCACTTTTACAATAGATGTACATGTATAACTGCTTTTCCAATTCCCCTATAAAATTTCTTAAGGTCCGTTTGAAATATTTTATTTTGGCGATAAAACCTACAACGTTTTTTGTATCGTCTTGTTTGCTGCGTTTTTAATTGCAGTTTCTGTTTTAGCATTTCCTTGGTTGATTGAATTTCATTTAATGATTTAATTTTATATCTCCGCTGACCTTCTTGCATTTGCGTGGGGAGACATTTAGATTTCTTGGGATTTGCTGTATCGATATCTTTATTTTTCGCATCAATTTTGACTTCTAAGCTGGCTTTTTTGTCCGTTTTTTTTTATTTTCATTGTATTGACTTCAAGCTTTCCAGTAACATTAATGCTATCGCGTATATGACGCTATTTACTTCTGTGATGTTTCCCAGTGGTTGGGCAATTAACAATGTTTCCAGTGCAGCTTTGTATATTTGCACAGTGTACTTATTGAACTTGTCATATGAATTCTTGGGAGCTGGTCTCTGTCTGACATTTGTGTTAGATTTACTCTACTGAGTACTTGTAGGATGTGGTTTTTGGCTTGGGTGATTTCACCTCTGTTATTTTCAAGGATTTCTACCCTAATGTACTTGGGCTCATCTTCAGTGACATACTCAGGATAACTGCAGGTTATATCATAAGTAGATTCTTCGGTTTTATTTCCTGGGAGATTATTACGTATCTCATTTATTTTAGTTTTTACCTCATCCTCTGTAATATTATTTATTCCTACTCTCATCTCTTTATTGTTTGATTGATGGCTTATTGTATTCATACTTATATCTAGTTTTATCTCGGCTCTTACTGCATTTGAGAGTCTTTTGTTTCACAAGATGTCACTACGGGCATTGACAAGCATGTTTGGGTTGAGATGAGGTCTAATTTCACTTCCTTCCATATTTCTCCATATTTGTTATGTCCTATCCGTGATATTCTTTCATGGATTTTCGAGTGCAATAAAAAGGGATGTCATGACTTGTTGAAACTCTTTGCAAGACCATTTCGTTCGATTTCTTTTTATGATTTGATTTGGCATCGAGTCACTTAGTCTAGGGTCGGAACTAGTCCGGGTTTGGTGACATGGGTGTCTCTTCGCTGTTGGAAGAGTTTGTTCCAGTGATAGATTTTTCGGCCCAAAGCTGGTTCCTCTCTGAGGTACGCGGCCCTTGTTGACCCGGGTGACAGCCGGTGTGAGTATTTGTTCGTAATCAGTGAGATTTGTAATTTTTTGCGTCTTATCGTTGATCGCCAAGGGGTAATTTTCTTAAAGTTACCATCTCTAAGACGACTTAGGATCAAAACTAAAGAGTTCGTCCTAATCATGAGATAGATGGGAGGTTATATTCAGATATCCATGGTTTAAGAGATTATCATCTAGTACTGTAGTGAGCGGGCTAGCGTAGCAGTATGGAAATGGTAGTGACTATAATAAGTTTTAACTTAGTATAAGTCAAAGTGACATCTACCAGATGAAATGTAAGAGGCGGACACACTTTTGCATTTAGGGTTACCACAAAAAAAATTTAAATACAAAAATAAAAGTCAAATAAAGTCAAAGAGAATTAAAATAAAATTAAAGAAAAGAAAAATAGAATTTCAAATTGTATAAAATTTAGCATAGCTTAAATGCTGAAAGGCAGACACAGAAGGCCCATCGACAAAGGTTCAATCTTCCGACGCCAATAGGAGTAATGTTAATGAAGTTTTATAGGGTAGATCATCTTCCACAACCAATCCGAGGGCTCCAACTACAACAGGAATTGTTGATGTCCCCATGTGCCACATTTTTGAGATTTCAATTTCAAGGTCCTTGTATTTTGACAGTTTTTTTAATATCTTCAAAGACACATTGCAGTCTGCAGGGACTGCCATATCAATTCAATAAGGAGGCACTTTTTTGTTTGTGGTCTTTAATAACAATGTCTGGTCGGTTAGCTTTGATTATTCTCTCAGTGTGTATTGTGTAGTCTCATAGAATTGTAACAGGTCCTATCTCCGTAACAGGGTCTGGGTGGTGTTCAGTTTCCTTCCCGTAGAAGTTACAGATTTTCCAATGCAGATATTGGCCTTCTCTATCATGTTTATACTCAGTGGGTGCCAATATCGTGCAACCTGATACAAAATGATCATTTCTTTCTGGATATTTATCACAGAATCTATTATTATTATTATTATTATTATTAGCATCGTTATAATCAATGTTGTTCTTCGTCTAATGAAAAACGTTATCATTATTTCTGGCGTCTTTCGTTCCGCCTTTTTCCTTGTAGAATCAAATTGGAAACTAGGCTTTATTGCTTCCCTCTGCCATCGTCGCCATATTTAGACGTCACAACAAAGCCTTAATCTTTCCGCATTTTTTAAAGAGCAGAATCGAAAATATCACGCCGTATTGATTAACCTCAAACAGAGGGCCATTTTAATTTACTGGCTTAAAAAAAAGAAAGTCTGCATTTCATGAAATATTCCGATTGCTTTTGAGTGAAAGAATGCAAAGAAAAAGGCATCAACTGCAGTGTAGCATTGACGTCTTTGGAGATTCATGTGAGTAAAGGTTTCAAACGCTGTAATGGATAACCCGAATTCTTGATCTGAATGATGATCAACAGTGAACAAATGAAACTATGTGGCGTGGAGATTTTGTTCAATTACACGCATGTGCCCGACTGGGGAAAATAGAATTGGTTCGCCGCAAATAGTCATAAGAAATTCAGAGATAAAGAATATATTAAAAGTCGGTAGAAAGAAAGAAAGAAAGAAAGAAAGAAAGAAAACAAACAAACAAACAAACAAACAAAGAAAGAAAAAAAGAAAAAAAGTATAATACTTGAAAGAATACGAAAAGAAAGAAAAAGAAAGAGAAAGGAAGAAAGAAAAGGGGTAAAATAGAAAAATATTTCAGGTATAAAAAGAAGTAAAGAAAGAAAATATAAGAATAAAGGAATTAGAAGAACATGAAAAGAAAGAAAACGAGAAAGAAAGGAAAATAAAACTAGTGAAGGATTTAAGAAGAAAGAAAGAAAGAAAGAAAGAAAGAAAGAAAAAGAAAGAAAGAAAAAGAAAGAAAAAGAAAGAAGAAAGAAAGAAAGAAAAAAGAAAAAGAAAGAAAGAAAGAAAGAAAAAAAAGAAAGAAAAAAAGAAAGAAACAAAGAAACAAAGAAAGAAAGAAAGAAAGAAAGAAACAAAGAAAGAAAGGCAGACAGACAGATAAAAGAAAGAAAAAGAAAAAATACTACAGGAAT